AGATCATTAATTGTCATTTACTTACTGAAATATATTCTGCATAATTTACTGTTTTTGTCATCTTCCTTGTTATAATCCAGCCAGTGAATGTTCAAAGAACATAAAATCCTACAAATAAATAAACTGAATATGAGTGAATTTACATAAGGGCAACAAATTAAGATCAAGAGTCTCACATGTAAGCTTTGATTATATAAAACAATTATGTTTCCCAGTTGTGTTCCAGCAAATGATTTATCAGTAGGAGACAAATACAAAAGTTTTAAGTTTCATGACACCTGCATGCCTAATTTTCAGAGCACAAACAACCTTTTCTGAATCAGCATGATATCATCAGTCACAATTTTGAGTTATCGAGATTTTGCGGAATTAGACTGAAGGGCATTCTGAGTTAGTGCATGAAGTTATTATAGGCACTGACCTTTGAACAAGAATTAGATATATCACCATGGACTACGTGGTCAGTAACTAGACAGTCAGCTGAGGAAGTACTGAAAACTCTACCAGAGGGAACTTGGGAGACAAAGTTAGAGTTGTGGGTTGTGGAGAGGTAGCCTAGAATCACAGGAGATGTAGGATGTGTTTATAAATTTTGTTGTTCGAATAGGAAACATCCTCACACTTGCAGTTTTTTAAAGGTCTCTTCCAATAAGGTTATGAAATGTAGACAGAATTTAAAAATTAAAAACATAATTCTTCCTATCCATTTATATTTAGAAGTCAGTAATTTATGTGGTAATACATGTGAGAAATTGTTTTAAAAGCTATGTTGACAAAAAGAAAAGCACAAATGTTTTATGATATTATGGTAAAAAGAAAAAAAACACAAAGTGAATGGGAGCCATTAGATATTCTCAGTGAGTATATTTCTCCCTTTGACACTGGAGTTAAAAAATTATCTTTTAGGATAATTGGGGTATTATCTAGATCAGTGCTTTTTAAATGTATAGTGTGTAAGGAATTGTTGATAGTATATTTTTGCCATCAGCCTGTTACATAAAATAAGTGGGTAGGACAGATTAAAAATAATCTTTTTAATATAAGTGTTAAGTGTAGGGCTTAATTACAAAGGCCAAATTAAAGTTTTGGAAAAGTGTGTGTGTGTGTGTGTGTGTGTATGTGTGTGCGTGTGTGTATGTGTAGATACATGCATGCACGTGTGTGTTTGGGGGGATTGGTGTTGAAGCAGAAAATGATCAAAATGCAAAAGGTGAGCAGGAAGTGGCAAATTAAAAGCCCTTTTGAGTAGAGGAGAATTGAGAATGAAAGAAATATTAGGTAACAGGCAAGATTGACGGGAATTGGTTATATTTGTAGATGAAAATGGGAATTGAGGGTAAATGACTCTATAGTAAGGACAAAAAGCTAGTACTCTACACATATAAATTCTACCTTCTTCCAATGATAGAGAACCAATGAGTTAAAGTAGCTCCTCTTAAATTCCTGTATTCTGTATTAAACTCTAAGTATCCATCAGTGATGTAACCAGGGAATTATTTTTAGTTAATGTATTTCTCAAATGTCTTTAGAATTGACTGAGTAAATGGGGCCATTTTTTTTCCCCGTAGCAGTACACATTAATATAACCATAAGATTTAGAATTCTAAAACTCTGAAGAACAACAAAATACGAGACGTAGAATGTAGGTTGATTTTTAAATTCCATGAGTCTTTGTGAATGCATTGAAATGCTGGACAATAAGGGAGATATTAGAGAGGACATCTGGAACAGGTGATAGCCAAGCATTTGGCATAGGTATTACTTGAAATCTGCTCTCCTATCACCAATTTCATACCAAAGAAGAAAATGTTTTTTAATTAAGTTATAAGTTGGGAAGAAAGGACAAAGACATAATATCTTTGTAATAATGGAAACTAGTACATATTAACACATTCCTGTCATCTCATGTATCTATGTACATATTGGAAGGGCAAGAAAACTGCACTTTTCACATTTTGAATATCACCTAGCTCGTTGTTAAGTTATGAAACTGTCCTGAACTTTACCCAGGATAAATAATTAGGATATTTATGTTTATGTATTTTTCAGTGAAAGAGTAAATAAGCCAATAATCTAAGTTGATGTTGAAAGGGAAGGGTAACTCAGGTTTTGAGGAAATGATGAAAAGGATGTGACAGGGCGTCGATCCTTGAGGGCCACTAGAGAAGGGCTATCTGATAGAAATGCAAACTTCCGCATTCTGACTTCTGAAGAATGTTGGTTCTACACGAACTTTCTATGCATACAACTTACTCTTTGGGGTAAACGCTGTGTATTTGCAATTAACAATTGAAAAGGAGATAAATAAATTACTTATACTCTTTAAGACCATACTTACGAGGAGAAAACAAGCACCAATCAATGCTGCTTTGACTGTCACATCTAGGTCTGCAGGAATGTGAATCCCGAAGTTGTCAGCATTGGTGAAGACATCATTTACAAACCCTGACCAGTATTTTGAAATCTTTCCAATTGTAAGCTTTTCATTAATGGTCTTCACCTTTAAAAAGAAAATTAGAGGTATTAACTTTGAAGGTGAAAGAGATGATTTTAGATTTCTTCACATGTTTACTTCATGAGAGATGTGAATTATTTTATTCATCATCTCTAAAGTTATTCATTCCTTTATATAAGCATAGGTTTGTAGACTTAACTTTCCAGTTCACTCTTCAGGAATTTTGCTTTTCTGACAGTTTTTTAATCCATCATATATTTCCTTCTTTCTTTCTTTCTTTCTTTCTTTCTTTCTTTCTTTCTTTCTTTCTTTCTTTCTTTCTTTTCTTTTCTTTCTTTCTTTCTTTCTTTCTTTTCTTTCTTACATTGAGATGTCTGTCTGTCTGTCTGTCTGTCTGTCTGTCTCTCTTTCTTTCTCTCTCTCTCTATCTCTCTCTCTCCTTTCTTTTTTTTTTGTATGCAGATAGAGAATATATTAGTAATAAATAATTAAGGACAGGTTACCACAAGATGGCAGCAGGTACATAGTCTCAATTATATGGTCTAACTATGAAGGCCATTCGTTTACCTGACGTCTTGATTTATAACCTGAATTATTTACAGAAAGCAAGAAAGCAAGAAAGCGAGGAAGGAAGGAAAGACGGAAGGAAGGAAGGAAGGAAGGAAGGAAAGAAGGAAGGAAGGAAGGAAGGAAGAAAGAGGAGAGATGGGAAGAAAGGAAGGAAGGAAGAAAGAAAGAAAAAGAAAGAAAGAAAGAGAAAAAGAAAGAAAAGAGAAAGAAAAAGAAAGAAAGAAAAAGAAAAAGAAAATAGGTTTGAGATTTTAGAAGTAATTAGCTTCACTTCTGGGTACAATTTTTTTAACTTTTAAATTTTATTACTAGGATTTATAAGTATAAACACATTTAAATATCAGTCATTGCTTAACCTCATTTTAATATTATACACAGACATTTAACTAGACCACTCCTTTACAACCAATCTTAAGTCCTGTTTTTGAATTTAAAAAGCCTTAATATACCACATAGGAAATTCAGACTAATTTGACATTAATAATCTATAGTCTTTCTCAGCTAGAAGAAGTCTACAATAAAACTTTTGCTTGCCCTGTTACTGATTCAAAGGCTAAAAGTGATTCAATATAAACTTTCACTTTCAGTATGTCAGTAGAAGATAGAAAATAGAGAAAGTTACTTATGACATCTTTATACTATGAATACCAAAACTCTTATATCTAAGTTCTCCTTGTTCATAGGGCATATTTTTATAGTTCACTCTTAGGAAAGCCATGCCAAGTCCTTTTGGACTAAGGTGGAGTTAGGACAGCTCATTTTGCAAACTGTATTCTATGTGAATAAATTCTCTGGAGTTCCACAAACTGAGTGTCCTGGTGGGATATATATGTATGAATGAATAAAAAATAAATATACAATTTAAATCAGACCATCTCTTCTGTCTAAGATGTATTTCCAGGATAAGCTGTTAAAATAGTTCATATTGATATAGATTGAATTTGCAACTATGTATTTTTTTAATATTCAATTTACACAAATATGTTTATGTGAGAGTAGATTGTTTTATGAAACAAAGTTAGCAAGAATATAGCATTTAAATTAGTGATATTTTAATGGAATATGCTTCTGAGATGAGATCTGAACTGGAATACTTTACCACCAGGGCTACTGGAAAAAAGATGTAATTTATGTGATGCTAAACTATATATATTTGTTTTATATGAGGGGTGCTATATTTTCACATAAATAAAATTCTTGTTATATATTTAAAAAAAATATTGGACTTACATCTGAAATTACAAGTTATTATTGGCATGTACAACATATTTTACAAATATGTTCTTTTCTAAATTTATTTCAGAGATATTTCATGATTGGAACATTTTAAAAATTGAATTCTGTTGCAAAAAGGCAGGTCCTAAGTGAAAACTTTCTTTATTTTGTCAATCATACCTCAAAATCCACATCACCAAAACAGCCACATGTTGTACAAGGACCAACAATTTTCAAAATATCTTCTTTGTTTGCATTTTGAATTGTGAATTTAGGCACAAAGGGGTCCCACTTCTGTGCAACATAACCAACTATGGTACCAGGAGGGGCTTGGATTTCTAACTGTAAGAGGAGATAATAAAAACATTTTAAGGTTATTATATTTTAATTTTATTATAATATTAATTTACTTCTAAACAATATACTTTTTATGAAGTTATTTTAATATTTTACAAATCACTTTAGATATCTGTTTCTAGGGACACAAAGCTGTGAATTTTTTTTTTTTTATATTTTATAGAAACTAAGAAACTCACTGTATATATAGATGTTTGGCACTATGCACTAAAAGTCCAGGCCTTTGATCTTACTTCCCTAAAGAGAACCTATCCCAGAACTGTCTTCTGACCTTGGGACACTGGCTTCTTTGCCATTTTTGTTCTGACTACAATAGTTGGTCAAGCATGGAAAGCTGTTTCCCACGAGGGACCTAATATCTACTCCCTCTCAATTGCTACAACAGGTTTTCATCCTTATTTACCAATTAAGTACTAATAAATATTTTTCTCTTCAGATTGTCAACTTCCAGTTTCTCTGTGTTCAATTAAAAATAAATGATTCTGCAGTTACACACTAATTTGATTACTGTTTCACATCTTCCAAAGAGTTAAAGACTAGTAATTGTATTTTCAGGCTTTATTTTAGTATTTTACCCATTACCCTTCATTCTGATTTTTTATTTTCCATTATATTATATATTTTGATATACTTATGTAGCCAATCAAATTATTTGTGAAGTAAGCTAGAGGTTGGTGCAAATAATAAAAATCTATTGCTTTTAAATCAAACCAAATTTCCATCATCAGATCTCATTTTGTCTTTTCTTATGTATTAAGTTCATAGCCTTATGTGTATGTCTATACTCTTCTTGGATAGACATAGGTGGTTTTAATAAGATTGCTTAGTATTATATAGAATTGTTTGGGGATCACTTTTAAAGTAATTGATTTGATTTTGACCAAATTTTAAAAATTATTGATGAGTATCAAGAAACATCTTATGTTTAATTTATGTGACACTGGGCTACTATAAAATAAAACATCAATTATCAGAAATTTTTAAATGGGCATATATTCTGTAATTATACTGATTATATTATATTGGGGCATATTACTACATCTTAAATATACTCAATGGGAGGATAAAATTCTTAGGCTTCATGTATGAGTATTTTAGCTATCTTATCACTTAGCCAGCTGATTACCTATGAATAGTTGGAGAATTAGCTTCAATATATATTGTTGGACACTTCTTTAATCTTCTTCCGTCAATATTTATTTCCTATAGCATTAAGTAGAATACTTATACATAGGTCCTCAAAGGAGAAACTTGGGCTTGAATAAAGACACCTGAATCAAGTACCATTTATGATATTTCCTAGATGTGTGATAATAGATAAGTCACCTCCACTCTAAGCCTCAGCTTTTCTACTGCAAAATATGGACAGTAAATCCTCTTCTTTCTAGTTTATAGAGATGTCATGATATTAAGACATTGGAGTAAGTATATGTTCTATATCAACTTAACTACATTATGTCAATAAAAGTTATTATTATAGGTACATTAAAGAGTAACAAAAATCTATTATATATTAAAATAAAACAATTGATTCCCTCTAGAATAATAACATTGTCTTCTGCAAATCTTGAGGTTTGTCCTAAATGTATGCATGAGATGTAACATTCTGTGCCTAAATAATAATACCGAGCTAAAAGAGAACACCTTACAAGTATCACTTAGGACTTTCTGAACTTTGCAACAATTAGAGAAGACAAAGGGATAAGGTGTAGACTTGCTTAATGGTGGAACTCATAGATATGACAATTACAAGGCTAGTGTCTCATTTACGTGATGCATGAGTTGTCTTCAATAATTAAAATTACAGAAGCCACTATATTTTTTGGTTGGAAAGGAAAAAACTTTTTTTTTTTACTAAATCCTCAAGCTGTTCTGATTCTAAAGGAATGATGTACTAATTCAGTCAATTGAAAGGTTAATTGCCATATAGCTCCATATGAATGCTATTTATTAAAGAAATAACTGCTAATCTTTTCAAATGGGGGGGGGTGGGAGGCACTCCAGAACCAATGACTAACCTCTTGTAGGTAGCAAGGGCACCAGCAGCTGTTACACCTCAACGGCCTGTTTACTGTAATCACTTCTCGACCTGAGTTATCCGTGATCCGCAGAGTGCAAGATCTCATTGTGGAACAGAAAGTGCGATTGAAGCAGATGCTTTCCTCCACTGCAAAGTAAATTCTTTGTCCCAAGCTGTTTTTAATTTCATATTTGTTGGAGGTTTCAGTGCCAAGTATCACTGATAGAGCAAAAAAAATTCATCATAATAGTGCTAATAGTTAGTATTAAACCTTTAAATGAGTAAAAGGGATACTGTTATTAAGAGAAAACAAGCATAGTGATTGATTAATTATTAAGTATATGGTATTTTCACACATATTTACTTTTGTGCTCTGAAATTTAAGGATTTAGTCATCAAAATCAAAGCAAACTCTAAAAACAAAGCTGTGTGATTAATAAGTTTTGATTCTAGATATATTATTGACCCCAAAATATGCAGTTCCACTTTTCAATTAAGAAAGCAATGCTGTAAAAAAGAATCAAACACTGAAATAATAATTCTGTTATTGTTATGGAATTTATTGAGACAACTCACGTGATAGTGATGATTTGTCTAGAATCTTTGTCTGATAATATATCTATAGCTACATGCTATTCTGATATCTATTTCAATTTTGACATATTTTTGAAATTACATATAATATTAAGAATGAAGAATAATCAAGAAATTTGAATTCAGTTAGTCATATTTGTAAATTTGTGTATTGTTAAATAATTTGCCTAATTGATGAATCACTGATGAAATGATAAAACTGTGGAAAAATGTTTTGATGGATTTTGTTATTTAGTCTCAACCTTGATTTCCATTTCCAAAATTATTAAGAAAATTTGAATTATTAGCAACCATGGAAGTGATTACATATGTTTTATTATTTTAAGATTGAAAATAATGTTAGATTCCTAATGTCAATATCATCAGAAACTTGGAGAATTTTATGCTTTTAGGTTTATCTATGTCAGACTAATAATTTTATTTTCAACATTTATTTAAAAAAATAGAACTAGTGCACTTTTTTGACCTGAATATATTCTAAAAATTTAACTTTATTGTTATAACATATTTAGATGAAAAGAAATTTCTGAAATCCAAAATATTTTCAACAGTTTTAATTAGTACAGAATATAGTATACTTACTTCCAAGAAGCTCCACTTGCTGGTGTATAATTATCAGGTCTAACTGTTAAGGGATGACAAAAGAAATAAAAATTATTACATCACAACACTCTGAAAACCTTTGGAGCTATTATTAACCTGTTTATTGGACTATATGAAATTAGGTGATTTCATGTTCTTTATAAGGAAAACCATTGAATACGGATCACATATTATAATGGAAAGGAAAAACGTTTTTTATTCAAGTGAAAAAAAATTCCGTGACAGAATTACAAAGAATAAAAATAGTATTATTTAGGCACTGTGGTTAATTCTATTTTCTTTCTGTGGTAGCGTGATAAAAGGGTAACTTTTAGAAACAATTCTGAGAAGATTTTTAAATGATTTCTGAATAAAAATGCCTAAGAGATTTTAAATGTTCCCATTCCCATTTTTTTTAAAGAAATGAAACAAAATTAATTTTATTCATATATAAAAAATTTGTTTTAAGAACATATTTTAAATATTTTCTTTAAAAATTGTATACTTTAAAATATAGTCATTTCTCAACTCTGTGGATATTTTATTGCTGCAAATTAACTCCATTTATAATTATATATGGCAAATTTTATTATGTCATTCATTTAGTAGCATTACTCTTAGTCTGCTTAAATAAGTATTTTGTTAACATTAGCAGGATTTGTGTTTTTTTTTTTTTAGAGCAAAAGAAGGTGTGAATGAGAAAATTTTCTAGAATAACTTCTTCCAGGTTTAACAAAGACATTTCATCACTGTGAAGAAAGAGCTGCAGCATGACAGAGTGAAAGTAAAGTTAGGCAGAGTTAGGAGGAGGGGCCAGGCATTCAGATCATTATTGTTTTGTTTCATTTCTTTAAAAAAATGGGGTGAAGGACTTTTAAAATCTCTTAAATTTGATATTCAGTACTTGAAGATTCACTACGGTAAAATCATGAACACTGAATATAATGTTGGTTATTGTTTTTGCTAATGTTTCATTTTCTATTTTGCTTTTATTTTTTTTAACTTTTAAATTTTCATACAGTTGACATAATATTTTATTAGTTTTAGGTGTACAGCATAGTGATTAGACATCCATATAACTTACCCTGATACTATTCTATTTTACCTTTAAATTTGCTTGGTTTTAGTCTCTCTTTGTATTAATAAACTAATATGAAACAGTTAAACTGAAGTAGTCATTACTAATATATGGTATTGATTGAACATCACAAACCAGAAAATTTGAAGCTACATTATTTTCTTCATTCTCCTTGTATAATCTTAGGTAGAAGTAAAACTAATATCATTTCTTCTATTCAAATCTCATTATTAATAAAGAACTACACATGCCCTTGTTTATTAAACTCACAAAAATATTTTTTCAAAAATAATTTATGATTTAAGATATTCTAAAACTTGTTTTAACAATTATGGCAAAATTTTAAAATTTTTAAAATTTTTAAAAAGTCTTTGTAAGTGTACTGTTGTTAATTTTGTTCTCTTTTGAGAAAAATGACGGTTGTGGCAAGAGAAGACATAAGCCTCAAAAGGATATCCGTGATGATTTAGCAATGGATGTATGTAGAACTGACTGAGGAATGGAGAACTATGAGAGTAAAACTAAAGTTTGAGTTTAGGAACTTTGCATATGAGTAGCATACATCAATTTTTAGTCTTGAAATTGAGAGGCTATCCATTGAGATCCATTCCACAATGAAAAGGGAAATCATATTTCTCTAATATCTAATAATAGCAGTTGTTTATTTATAGACAACCCTGAGGTAATCACTATGCTAGATATTTTGACATAGTATCTAATTTAATTCTCACAAAACCACTCAGAGAGATAGATATCATTATGTTTTACATGTGAAGAAACAATCCCAGAGAAATTAAGTAATTTGCCCAAGATTGTAGAATTTGTAAATAGAGAGGCTGGCACTTGAACCCAGGCCATACTGTAGCCAGTTTTGATATGCTTTCTTCTCCGTTGTACTAAGCTAATCTTAGAAACGGGGAGAAACAAGTCTTAATTGACACAGTAAAACTTCTGAGTACCTTTCTCCCTATTTTCTCTACTTTTATATTCACGCTGTATATGTAATAACATTTGATTTAATCAGATTTGCTTTATCTCTCTGGGAAAACCTTGTGCATTTGAGGGTTTTGTTTTTGGTTTCTCTAAGGAGTCCTAGGCCACTTATAAACCATGGTCCAAATGAGCCTTTTCCATCCTTTGCTATTAATTTAAAGACTGGAAATTGTTGGAAAGTTTAAACTTTAAACTTCATCAAAATGTTATCGACTATTATGAACATGTTAATCCAATCTTGGAAAGAGAAGCTATTAGCATTATTTTTAGGTTTAATTTACATGAACAATTGCACACGTACACATATATAAATTGTATACATATATTTACATACATACATAGGAATTATTTATAAATTGTTAATGAAAACAGGATTTTCAATAATCATTAGGTGAACTTTATTAAAAGAGAATAGATGAATTTAAAAATTTTTACTTTGTTTTTTTAATTTAGAAGAATTTGTATATTTTTGTATATTTTCTTGTTTATTTATTGAAGAATGTACTATGTCCAAAAGTTTGTCATTTTATTTAATCTTATGGTTTTAAGCTAACAATGCATAAAAAATTCATTTTATGTATGTCTCTTACAGATTTTGTGGCAAATTTTTTTAAATGATCATTCTTCCTGTTATATAGACACTACTTTAAAGCAAATAAGCATTCTTTTATTATAAAGTGAATTATTGAATATATTATCTTTACTTTTGAAGTAAAATATTCGCCAGTTTGTAGCATATTTTTGTTTTCTGAAGATTACCAAAAGTATATTTTGGGAAAATTGACTTCATGTTAGAATTGAAGCCAGTGAGTTCATATCTCTGTTTATTGAATGTGAAAAAAATATATTCATGTCAAGCATCTGGCTCCGGGTGTGTTATCATTCATGGATGGAAGAAGAATATGTGATGACCATATGTGATCATCAAACCTCAGCCCTCTGGCACTGGTATATCACTTTTATACTTGGCAAAACCTTGTCTGACAACGTTCCCAAACAGCTTGCAGCAGTTAATCAACTCTAGTCAGCTATTACAGCTGATCCTTTCTGCAGATGGAAGATGGTAGGTTAGCTTTCCCAGCTCTTTTACATATCTCCCTGTGCTCCCCAGTCTCTAAAGTACATTTGTCTGCCAGTGGGTTACTGGAGAAGGCATCTGCAATTATAAACATTTTTCCAGGAACATATGCTGCATGCAGCTTAAATCCTATCAGGCATAACAGAAATCTCTTGTACCTTAAGGGAATTAACACCGAGATTTGATTTTGATAAAGGAGAAAGACTTTATAGTTTGAAATAGTGCCAAACAACCTGAAAATTACAGCAGATGTGCTGACATCTCAATATTGGTATAAGTTTATTTCTAGTCTTTCGTAGGATAAAATACCAAAGCAACAATAATATATACAAATATAATTGCTATTCATGTGCCTGATATTTGAGATGATGATATTTTTTGATTCACTTATTATAAGGCTTGAATCACTGCTTACCCTCCAATGACTAGACTAGAGACTAGCATAATGATATGATCCTTTAAGCAAATTGGCCTAGAGACGCAACCATATCAAAGACAATATATTAACTTGGTCGTTTGCTTTCCCATGGATTTCCATCAACTTTTTAAGATTCATTTGAAGACACCGAACTCTCAGCTCACTGCAAAAGTCTCTCACTGAGTATTAACGATCATTTTCTCATTTATACACCTGCACACATTACAATTGTGTGCTTATCTGGCTTTACCACACAGCCTTGCACCTTTAGTCGACATTTTTTTTGTCTTGACAGTTAGGTTATGGGATGTTTGTATGAAAGGGACTAGGTTTTACACTAAATAGCTCAATCGAAAATTTTTAGTCTCATCACTCCATCAAATAAATAAGGAAACCAGACATGGTAATAATAGTAAACACTTCTTCCTTCAAAATAAAAATAAGTAAAATAAAAAATTATAATTTCATAGTTTATAATGCTTTTCTCACTTCAGTAAGTTATTTGTTGAAGTCCTACAACCTTCGATGAAAAGCAAAAAGTAAGTTTGTATTTATTTTAAGGGAAAAAACATTTGTAGAAATAGAGAAATAAAAGCACCTGACTTAAATATTCTAGACCAGGAGGAAGGCTGCCTGGTAGAGGGAGACCTGGCTGCCACACTTGGTTCTCTGGTCCGGAAGGTGAGATGCAAAGGCTGTGGTCTGGATCTGGAGCTCCAGGAAGAAAAGCAGGGAGACTTCTACTTCTTTGGTTCTGTGCATCTGCAAGAGAGTGAAAATCCCAGCCTATATTTAAATTTAGGCCATTTCATTTAGTTTTTCTTATAATATTTGTTACTTCTTAATTCAGAGGGTAGATTCTTTCTTGCTGACTTTTTTTTTCCTCATTTTTCCCTTCTCAACTTCACCACAATTTGACCCCTAAAACAGAGAAAAAGGAAGGTACAAGACTGCTAGTAGTAGATGTGAGAGAAAATCAGATAATTTGGGCAAAATATATGTTTTTCTTAGGAAATATACATATTTTTGAAGACTTGTGAAACATCTCTTCAAAGAGCTAAAAAATTATAAACTACAGAAGGAAACAAATGGTAAAATAAACTAGTTTCTACTCATAAAAGGATAACCTTAGATGTAGGTTCTAAATCATAATTATGACTTTCAAGTCATATTCTCCCGTCTCCAAATATTATGAAAGTGCCTCATAATTTCCAAGAATATTTTGTGTCCTTATGAATCATACTGATATGGCGAGATTTAATTTAGTGGTTCTCATTCTTTAGCCTGCCCTAGAACCACCTGTAGGGCTTGTTAAAATAAGATTGCTGGGCCTCACTCCAGAGTTTCTGATTCAGTAGTTGGGGGTGGGAGGTGCAGCTTGAGAATTTACATTTCTAATAAGTTCTCAGGTAAGCTAATGCTGCTGGTCTGACAATATACTTTTAGAACTAATGGTTTAATTTTTTCCTTTTTCTTTTCACATGACTGCCATTTAGATACCTCCCTCAATATATAACAATTTTTTTCAAAGATTATCAGTGTTTTTACTCCTCATCTTTATTAATATATTAATTATCGGAGTTCTCACATGTGTATTCATCAGTTTATTAACAATATGCAGTTTTAGAATGAATGTAGGTATGGATCAAGTTTCATGACATATTTTCAAACATTAGAGAAGTTATAAAGAGAAGTGATTCAGACTATTTTAAAGACATATGAATGGGAAGGACAAGGAAAATGGTTCTGGTTTACTATAAGAAGGAAATTTGTAACAGTTGCACAAAGATTTGAATAAGTCATTGTATGTATACTAAAGTTGGAGTGACATTTATATATTTCACAATAGATCAGAATCATCTTTCTTCAGCACTAACACTCAAATTCATATAAGTTGTGTGTCTGTGTTGGAGGGTGGTATTTTTCTGAATCTTTTAAATCTCTAAAAAATAAATTTGGAAAAGTACTGAGTTGTCTTTTTAGATAGTAAGTTCCCCATTACTTAGAGAATTCAAGTTTAGCCAGGATGAGCACTTGAAGAGAAATTAAAAAAAAAAAAAAAACTGGTAAAGGAATATAGGCATCAAAAGAATGGCCCTCTGAACACTGACATAAACTCTTTCTAGTAACGATAGGCTCATTATGTTGTGTGTAGATGTGGTGTTAATGAGGAACAATAGCGAGGTGATTCATTTATTTAACTTAAGGTAGTAGGAATAAATGAGGATGGATCTCTGTTTGTACTAGTCTGTTGACATTTAGAATTTAGAAAAGGATAGGGATTAGGATTTAGAACCATATGGAAACAAACTTGTCATTTGACCCTACTAAAATAGAGCTCCATACTGATAACATTATAGTATTTCTTCCCACAAGGAACTCAACCTGAACTTCTCTCAGATCCAGGCACACACAGAGGATGTAGGTTTTAGAGCTTCTTTGCTCTTGAAAAGAGTCCTGAATGGGACCTCAAGCAGTAACTTGAGAGGAAGGTTATGTAACAGTATGTCAGATTTGGGAGAGAAGATAATGGCCAATATAGCAGTAACAACTGGAAAATAATAATAGGTAACAAACATCCTTTCTTCATCATTAGTGCCAAAAGCACTGTCATTGTTTTTCAGAGAAACAGAGGCAAAATCATAATCTAGCAAAACTAGTTCATAGTGATAAAATTAGAATAGTTCTTGGGAATGGAAGTGCATGACTATTGACTGAAAATGAATCTTTATGAAGTTTCTATACAAAAATGTTCTATATCTCTATCTAGGTGGTGGTTACAGAAGTGTACTCCTATTTAAAAAACAGAGAGCTTAAGTTGAGTGCTCATTATGCACTTTACTGTTCACATATTATCTTTCAATTAAAAAATATATATGTAGGAATCATGTTATTTCTAATGATAGCTTGTAGAAGATTATTGGATTCTCATTGTAAATTTTATTGTTAAAAAGATTAGCAAATTACTCCAATTTTATCTTGTAGCCTATGTCTGCTTCTTATAGTAAACCAGAAGCATTTTCCTTGTCCTTCCCATTCATATGCCTTTAAAATTGTCTGGCAAGTAGCTCTATATTCCTGCCCCAGGTCCTTATGTCCTTAGACCTCATAGTATGTCCAGAGGCATTAATGCATTTGGAACCCAGAGCAGGTCATGTCCAAAGTTTTTATTCAAGAGTAGCCTTAGTAGGCAGAGACTGCTGGGATCGCCATTCTGACATCACTTGTTTTCTCTTCTGGGATTTCAGTTCACTTTGGAGCAGCCTTTAGAGATAGCTCTTGTTCAGTTTAGATCATCCTGAAAACTGTTTTTCTTAAATTTAAAATAAAACTTGAGACCAACTTGTTCTTAAATTGTGTTTATTTACACTAAATCAGGTGACTCCAGATCACATAAATATTTCTTCAGTTCTAATGGCATCTGGTATTCAGGGTGTCCTATGGGTTAGTGGTGGCGATTGAACTGCCCACAAAATGTTGAAAATGTCCAATAAGCCTGTATTCTCTGGGAAAATGGTCATTGCCAACATAGTTTCATGGGCCAGAGAACATTAATGATGTTGTAAATAATGTCTTTAAATATATCTAAAGAAAACTATCCACAAAAATACTTAAGTAAATACCATGATAATTGCCTTGCCCCCTCAAACCTGATTTCTAATTCAAAAGGAAGCTCCATTTTCGCTTCTTTTAAAAAGTAGTATAGATGCTCTAAAAGGTCTTTTACCTACTTCATGTGTTATTTTGAGTAGGTTTCAGAAGGAGTATTAGTGTTCCACCTAAAGTTTTACTTCTAAGATTAATCTTTATTACCGAACATCACTGCTTTTTTGGTAGAGTAATCATATTTTGATCATATTGCTTTCTAGTCACAAGTTTCTTCAAAGACTCAGACCACCAGATAAAGAAGGAAGTCCTTTGAATTTCCATCGGCTTTGAATTTCTATCTACTCTTTTAAAAATGTATAACTAACTTATAAATATTTTATGTACTCTGCAACTCTTTACCTTACAGGCTATAGTTGTTGTTGTAACTCCTATTTTATAAAGTGATGAAATGTTTTGAACTGTTAGTGTCAGTCTTAAATGAAAGAAAAAGCTTGTCAAGATTTTTTGTCTCCAGTATAAAAATGAAGCACACATGTATTAAAATTTATGATTTTGATGTCTCATGTCTATATTTTACAATTTGTGTAAGCTTTCCCACTAATACTCAGAGACTGGTATACATTAAATGTTGATGAAAACTGAAAAGATTACTTGTTTGTCCTATATTAAATAACATCCAAAGTATATTTTGATAAAATAAGCAAATAAGCATTCATGTGTCATTGAATGGATCATTAATTTAATTCAGGATATTTTAAACTGGTGGACTCCATTATACTATTTTAATTAGGTTAAGTTTCCCCCAATTATACTAATCATAATTCCTTATGGTGAAACTTTTTATTATAAAGTTTAATGTCTTGTCCTGATAATGGCATGAAAACACGTTATAATTTCATTTTTCCTTTAATTTCACATGTGTTATAGTGAGATTGAAACTCTTTACCTTAAAAAAACAACCATATCTCTTGTCTTTTGAGAAGTTCTTTAAAGTAAGATGGCACTAATGATACTTATACAGTTTTAGGGACTTAAGGAAAACTCACCAGCCCCCCCTCCCCCAAATACCTAATTAATCTGCTTGCTTAAATTAGTTATTTCCTGTTTGCTTATAAATATATATTTTACTATAAAAAAATTTGAAAAAATTTCATTTCAAAGTTCAGAAATATTTACTTCTAGTCCATTAAATTTATTAAGATTTACCAATAATACATATCGAATTCATTATAATAAATGACTGTATCACACATTTTAAACAACAAATGGGAAATTAAAAAATACTGAACAGTACTTTAATGCTTTTTAACTTACGTGTGAAAAACTTTCTTCAAATCCCTTTAAACTTGGAAGGTCAATCTGTCCACAGCGTTTTGGTGTTAAATATTTTCAATCTAAATTTTGCTACGCAGCTTTTTTAATTAATTCACCATGCTTATATTCATGGTAACTAAAACATTGTTTACATTTTAACTTTTATATTCTATTATATAGAGTGTATTTTTTATATTTAATTCAATATGCTCCCTTGGAGTTAAAATTTAGAAATTCCAATGTTCAAAAGTGACAAACGACAGATTTTAAAGTACCAGTCTCACTGATTGTAACACCAGTACGACTCTAATTTTTAGTCATAAAATAAAGAAAAAAATATTAACTGGCTATATTTACTCTTACCTTTAGAGGCCATGAAGATATCTGAGTCAGTTTTTCAAAGGCAGCCAGGTTAAAAGAAAAAGCTTTTTTTGTTTCAGCAAGGAGAGAAACACAGCATGCGTAAAACTTCAGAAACTATCTACTTCATGTCAGCTTACAAATAATAGAGGAAGGGAGTGTCTTGCTCAGTTTGCAGAGTGCTGTATTTTATCACTGTAGACAACAGGGGAAGACAAAGCTATCACCGAAGGTAAACAATACTCAGAAACTATCATATCACTTGGTGGCCGAAGCAACAATTTAAAAATAATAAAAACCAGAAAGGAAAATATACAACACTCATCAAGTTTCCACAGAGTTGTTTTTGTATTTCTTGCAATATGTACTTTGCATTCACTATTACATTAGAAATATTCTATTTTCCTAGTTTCTAGAAATCTCCTGTACCAGTGTCTATAATAAAATATTATATCACGTGTAAGTTTCTGAGTTCTAAATACAATTTTTTATATTTTGAAAATGTTCGAACATCAACTTTCTCATTTTTCTCTTGAGGTTTCTACCCACTTTCCACCCAAAAACAAACAAATGAAAAGAGAATGTATTTCCTACTGTGTATGTACATAAATAAATCTTTGTTTTCATTTTTAATTGAATTTGATGAATTAGAGCTTTTGAAAATACAAACCATCAGTAACCTTACAAACCAGCAGTTAATTGAAACATATAGATGATATTTAAATGCATTGCATACAGAGAGAGAAAAAGAAAGCACTGTAACCATAACTAGAAAGTTAACTTTTCTAAATGCAGCTTACCTGGTGACCATGGAGATTTTGTTCACCAAGTGAATTGCCCTGGATGGCATGATTTGCAAAGATTGAATTTGCAGGATAAACTGCATTATCAGCAGCACTGTCTGATTCTTAAAATAGTTAAGTGGCCTGAGTAGGCATAGAGAGTGATGAAAAATTATAAAGTCAGTCTCACAGGTTGTAGATAGTGAAAAGTTTAGGTTCTTCTAGTTTGGCAAAGAGATGTTTCTTCTTATTGTTATTGTTTTGAAGTGTTGGGAGTAAAAAGAGCTGCCATTATTTTAATTGTCATTTTGCAAAAAAGGTGTATAAATATGATTAGTATTTTTTAAATTAAGTTACATGTTTCCTAAATTTCTTAATGTTTGTTACGGGTATTTGGAAACACTTTAAAGAAACAAAGCAGTAATCGATGCTATCCAATCTGATATTTCAAATTATGGTCATAATTATCCAGTTAATTTTGACTTTCTATAGAGTGCCAATTTTGAAATAAAAAATAAAAATCTAGTGAATTAACATATTTTGACTTATATAAGGCCAACAATCTATGTTATTCGGATTGGCCATATGACTGATTGTTGGAATTTTTGAATATTTAATCTGCAACTGAGACTTTCCAGGCCATCTAACTTGGTGAAGTGTAGGCACTGCCCATTTCTTCCTTTATGCTTTCCCCCTCTGCCCTGCCAAAGACATTACCAGCATTGTTTTTCTTTTTTTCTTTTTATAGAACCAACAGATACCAACCTGAGAGCTTGTCTCCTCTTTCCTCCACTCCAGTTGGCCAGCCTTTCTCCAGGAGAGGCTCGCAAACCCTCCTTGATGGCCTCTTCAACATTTAAGTGTCACATTAGTGAGTACTCATGCAGCCAGGTGATGTTGCCCCAAAGCTGTCCTCCCTTTCTCTCCTGCTGCTGTTGCTGTTGCTCTTCACCTTCACTCTCAGTTCTCTCCAAACACTGGCTGCCTCCACAAAAGAACCAGGACCACCATTTTATACTCAGAATGATCACACCCTCCTCTCAGCTTTGTGCTATGAAGTCCTTGACTTTTTCAAGCAGCATCAGTATCAGTTTCACTTTGCCAACAGTCTGCAATTTTCTGGTCTGCTCCCTTGATTCCAGGGAATATAGCAATACAAGGTAGGTGCATCTTACAGATATAACTCAAGAGTTGAGGATAACGTAATGGGAATAGAGTACAAAAAAGGAGACTTAAAAATGAACATCAGCACACATATGTCAATGCTCCTGCCCCTTCCCAGGAATCTCACTACAATCATTCCCTGCCTATGGCCTTTTTGCAGGACATATCACAGCTATTTCTGAAGGTCTGTCCATTCAATATTACATCATTGTTCAGACATTTCCTTATTATTTAATTATTTAATGGTTAGATATTTAACTTCGATTTTCATGACTGAAAAGGCTCACCAAAATTGTCTCTTTCAGTACAAAGGGAGAGACTGGCAATTTATTTAAATCTATATCATGACAGAAATGCTACCTGTTATGAAATAAAATAACAGCACTATGTTCCAGATGGCGCCTCTGGGGAAAGGATTAAGAATAGAGTAAGATGTTAGCCTACAGGTCTGGGGCAGAACCAAAGACCAAACATGGAGATTAACTAGCTTTAGGGATATTTAATTTACTTTATGGTCATTCTGCCTTCAATTTTACTATAAAATTATGTGTTTCTAAAAAATATATATACATAAATGTGTAAATATATGATCAAATATATGTATATGAAATGAGAGAATTATTTATTTTTCTTGATTTATATAAAATTATTTTGGCATAATCCTAAATTACATTTCATTCATTTGAAATTACATTTTTAAAAAAATTATAATAATTCATAACATTACATTTGCTTTTAGCCACTGCATGTTATTACATTTTATGGCTATAATGAATACTGTTTTTGGCCATTGCCTTTTTAATGGGCTTTTAGAGTGTTTCAATTATAGAAGGCAATGGTTCTTATGCACATATCCTTTGAAGGTATATATCTAGAAATAAAAATGCCAGCTTATAGAATATAAAGATCTTTGTCTTTACTAAGTATCACTGAATAGATCTCCAATGTCCTTGTAAACAATTCACAAGTAGTAGTAATGGATAAGCATTTCCTTTTCTACATATCCCTTTCAAAACTGGCTTGGTCAGTAGAGTGGGAAATTAACTAGAGGACTCCCAAAAATTAATTTATGAGAAGACAGCATTCAGAGGTCTTAATTATGTTATTATTTGAGTAATGTAAACACCTCTATGTGTATTTATGTTTTCAGCTGTTCCTATAATACTGTATCATATGAGAATAGCTAATAGCAAATTTTATTTCATGAATAACTGGTTATAAAAGTAACAGCTACAGATGGGAAATCATTTGTAAATGAATTCTACTTTAGTGATAAAACAGCTCTTTTCATTCAGTGAGCCTCATGGCATGATCTGCTAAAATGTGCACCGTGCAACCATGCAGCACTTAAGGCATGCTTTTCTATGCATAAATCTTATCCCTGGATTTATAATTTCCCATACTAAATTCATTGTAGAACAAGGCGGGGTGTGTATAAATACATTTAAAAAGGAAATAAAAGAAATATGGAAAAAAATGTTGTTTTTATAAATGTTTGTTTAGTCATTTGATATATAACTACATTATCAGATATGAAATATCCAATCCCTTAATGTAAACTTAGATGTTCCTTCTTTGGAAATGTGCAACTCCTACTTAGGAGGCATTTATTACACTTTGCAAACCTCCTATAAAAGTGCATGTCTTCACTATTTTATTCAAATCTTCATTTGAATATAATGCTTCATTTGTTTATTCGATAAACATTTACTAACTTTTTACTATGTATATAGCATTATAGAGTATACTAAGATGTAATAATATGACCTCCACTCTGAGGGAACATGTATTCCAGTGGAGTATCACAATACAAGAATGCAATGTGCTTTGTGCTTTTTATTTTCTTAAAATTAAGATTAAGTTACCACCTCCTGAAGATAAAATAATGTAACTCATTCTCTTTCTGTAAAACAAAACTAATTAGAATCAGTAATGTATCATTCAAATGAGCAATTTTTTTTTCACACATAGATGTCTAATTTTTCTTTCCTCTGTTCCTTTAAAAAAGGAAAATAATGATTAATAAGATATTCTTTCTTAAATAATGAAAGGACAGTAAACTGGATCATGATTCTTAGCTGTTAATAAGAGATGGATTTCTTACCCTCTTTCTTTCTGCATACTTAAAAAGATATTGATCCAAAAGACTAGGAAAAAAGGAAAAGAATCCTGGATGCAGAGAAGAACCTGTGTGAAACTAAGAGAAAACTGGCTCTGGAGCAAATTATCTAGAGGAGTCCCCATTCACCAAGATGATATGGAAAAAACTCCTAATTTAGAGTCCACAGACTCCAGGAGACAAATGATATCTCATAATAGATTGTAAAGTCCAAGGCAGAAGCAAAAGTTTAGTTTGTGTATAGAAGTCCTTTTTAAATTTTCAGCCTTATACATTTTCTTTAGATAAGATTAAGTTAAGTTGAATGGAGTTCTTTAAAATAATCTGTTTTTATTGTGCTCTTTCTTCTGGCATTTGCTAGATCTGTTATGCACAATGTAAATTTTTAATAGTTCTTAAAGTATTTTTCTTTAAAGTGTCTAAAAGTACAGAGAATATTCTGATAGACAAATGACATATTAACAACTATTTATTTAGCTGTCCTTCAGTGTGTATGCTTATGTGGATGTCTGAGAGAGAAAGAGAGAGAGACAGAAGAGGGGAAGAAGGAAGAGGGAGAAAGAGAGAGAGAGACTGGAGTTACTAAGTAGATTGAGAAGGAGAATTAAGAAGACATGAAAAATCTTTAGAGACCTCAGTGTTTCCTACTAAGGACTACTTTAAATTTTGAAAATCTCTATTTCTACTATTATTTTAAATATACTTACCCTGTGCCTTGGTTCTTTTGCTTTGCTCAGTGTGGTCACTTTGTCTTCCCAACAACTGCCTGCATCCTTGTCACCAAAATACTGCAACAAGCCCGCTGGTAGCTGCAGCTGACAGCCCAGCAGTGCTCTGCATACAATTGCCTTCACTGACAGCAGCCATATCACGCACAGCTAGTACAGCTGCAATTTAGTGCCAGCTAGAGGTATACCAGTTGTTTTCTGCAGCACATTTTCTTCACGTTTC